TACTCACCTGTTAGAAAGTTAAAAAAAAAAAAAGAAAAAAAGAAAAGAATTGCCATAAGAAATGAAACAAAAATGAAAATTAGTTCAGACGCGATTTAACCCAATTTTAGATTAATAAAAACGAGAGCTTTCCTAAACTATTAACTTTTCGCCTCGCCAGTCAGTCACACCGCACAAAATTGAAATTAATAAATTATATATATATATATATATATATATATATATATATATATATATATATATATATATATATATATTGCGTTTTTGGCAGCATGTTTTCACTGAGACCTGTTTCATTGAATAATTTAGACAAGTTTTAGCTACTTATTTTCAATTAGATCCTTCATATTCACAGAAAATAAACAGACAAAACTTGTCTAAACTATTAAATAAAAAATATATATAATATATATATATATATATATATATATATATATATATATATATATATATATATGTGTGTGTGTGTGTGTGTGTATTACCAGTTTGTGACTGGTAGGCTAATTCAAGGAGGATATTAATCCAGGGAAGAAATCACAAAAAAAACCTTAAATATTCAATTTGGTTATAATTTATTTTGCTCTTCTGACCAAAGTCTCTTAGTAAGTGACTAATATATATATATATATATATATATATATATATATATATATATATATATATATATATATATATATATATATTATTATATTATATAGTACTAGATTAGCTTCAAAGTCTCGACAATTTACATTTGAAATGTCTAGATGTAACCGTAAGTTCTATGCTAATAGTTTCTTCTCTCGCACTTCTCATTTGTGGGACTCTCTTCAAGCTTCTTCCTTCCCTGTCAACTTTGATCTTCAAAAATTTAAATGCAATGTGAATCGTTATCTTCTGTCTTCTTATTTCCAGTTCTTTTATTATCCTCTCTTCTTAATAGTATATTTTTCTCATATTATCTGACACTCGTAAGTCCTATGCTAATAGTTATAAGTTTCTTACTTCTAACTTGTGGAACTCTCTCCCGGCTTCTTGCTTCCCAGTCAACTTTGATCTTCAAAAATTTAAATGCAATGTCAATCGTTATCTTCTGTCTTAATTCTTGTTCCTTTATTGTTCGTTCTCTTTATAGTATTTTTTGTTGTTGTTGTTGTTTTCATATTCTCTAACACTTAGCAACCTCTTGCGTCTTAGTGTCTTTGTTGTCATGCTTGGGGTGAGATGATTAAAATATATATATTCCCAAATATTATGAAAATAAATTCAGACTTTTTTTTTTTTTTTTATTATTGAAAAGATTCTTCTAATTGTCTAGTTTTAGACGTATGTTCGACTGACCCAGAAAAAAGCCTGGAAAAAGGCAAATTTAACAAATCTTTCACGATTTTCAAAACAATAAATTTAGTATAAAAATGAATATATGAATAATTATTACAAAATAAATATTTTTAAAATTACAAAAGGCGAAAAAAAAAACCTCATAATTTATATTCAGTTTAAAAGAATTGCTAAAAAACGTCAAATTAAATGTCATTAATTCAGGAGTTCCTTTTGTCTAGAAAAGCCCGAATTAAGAAATGATTATTCCAAATTTATCTTTATCTTAAATACGGCATTGCCTCTTTGATGTACTATTTACAAATGATTCCAAAGTAAGTTGAAAGAACAAATTTTAAAATTAGAATTATTTTCTTAGAATTAAAAATCATAATTTCTAAAACAAAGACGATCGATTATTGAGGGATTTACACAAGCTTAGTGAATAATATAATTTTATTTGAAAATGAAAGTTTTTTTTTTTTTTTGTTTGTTTAAGGGAAAAAAAAGCTTATTCAATTTTTCGTATTAATCACTGATTCAATAGAAAATTGGGTTTTACAAAATCCTAGATTAGTCATTTTTCAACAGAAAATATCCTTACGTTTTTTTTTTGTTTTGTTTTTGTTTGTTTCCAGTAAGTTAATTTCGTCTCAAGCTGAAATGATTTGAGTTACAAAATTAAATGCTATTCTTATTGATATTATTATTATTATTATTATTATTATTATAATTTTCATAATCACTGTCACTCTCATTCACTCTCATTATTATTATTATTATTATTATTATTATTATCATCACTATAATCTTTATTATCATCATCACTATCACTATTTTTATTATTATTATTATTATCACCATCACTGTCATTATCATTATTTATTATCACTATCATTATTAATATTATCAATATCTTTATTATTATTATTATTATTATTATATTATTATTATTATTATTATTATTTCCCGTTTCCTAATTTAATACAAGTTTCCTACCTGAGAATTGAGATAAAGGAAGCGATTTTTAGAGAGAAAAAAAAATCTCTCCCAATGTTCATGAGTACAACCTTTTTTGTATCTCAGATAGTGAAACGTGTCTTGAGATTCTTTTTTAATCATTCCGAGTGTTCCTGTTATTAGTGGAATAGCGGTTGCGTTTAAAATTCTACATTCTTACAATTTCTATTTCCTGATCCAT